AAGGCAGTAATTCTGGAAAAGCTACTGGGAAGACCATGCTCAAGTTGAATGAGCCAATGGATATGAACCACCAATCCAAGAATCTGTTTAAAATTCAGACATTTAATGGTGACAAAAAAAAAATCTCATTTGTGATGTTTAATTTCTGATCCTTCTTTTTTAAATAATCTAAGCTTGGTGAATCAAATGTTCAGAACTGACGGGGATGTGAACTTTTCTGAACTAGTGTACAGATTTTATCCACTGCTCTTAGTTACTAAATAGCTGGGAAAGGGCAGTGATCTATTTTAAGCTGTAGTGACCTGGATGAAAGTGTTACAGATGGTTAATAAAAGAAAATCTTTTCTTTAAAAAAAAGAAAGAAAAGGAACAAGAATCCCAAATCAGTTATATCTAGTCAGAACATAGCTCAAAATGGATAGAAACTATTTACTTAATTAAATGCAGTACTGAAGAACACGTTTATACACAGCACACAGAGGTATAAATAAATATCATTTCAGCACTAAATAGCAATACGTGGTTGATCAGAAAAGTCCCAATCATTACTACGTGCTAAAATAAAGCCTACCGTTAATCTCTCAGCTGCATGTTTTTCCCACTCACATCCTGCCTGCAACCCCCAGGGCTCATCACTCACAGCTGGGTCTGTGGGTAATTCCTGATCCTGTGCAGGGACCGGGGGGAGTGGGAGGAGGGGGTGGGCAGCGGGCCCAGCCCGGGGGACAGGGAGGCCAGTCACAGGCTGCCGTGGACAGGCTAACCACACAGATTCCAAAAATTGGCAGGCTACTACCGCCGGTCTTCATTTATCTTTAATAATCTCATTTTTTTTCCATCAACATATCACCTATTTCCATTTTTCACCATGGTTTAGACTGCACACAGTTATTTCAGAGATGACTGGACACCAAAATAACTTAGCCTGTGCTGGGGTGGTAGGTCTACAGATGTTTTTCTTTTTTTATCTCCTTTTTTCCAGCATTCTCCAGATTAAAGAGTATGTACTGCTTTTGAGACCAAAAAAGGGAAAAAAGTTATTTACAAGAGAACACTGACACCGGCTTCTCAGTGTCTACGGGGTATTTGAGTCCCCAGGCAAGTCAATTTCTCTGGCCTCATCTCCTTCCACGTTCTTCACCACAATCCACAATCCAAATACAAATGTCACTGCATTCCCACACCAGGCTGGGGTCTGAACATCCATGCCTCCCTCATCTTGGAGGGGCCGCAAACTGCAAAGCCCTATGGCCGTGCAGCCTTCCCCAGCTCGCTCTGACATTCCGCACTGAGCTCCCCTGCCCTCCCCGCTCCCTGCTAGAGCAACCCAGTACTGCGATCACTCACTGAAGATGTAAATCACTGGGCATCAGGCCCAACTACAGCAATAACCAAATGCATGAATACAGAGAAACAGACACCGAACAGGGACAATTCCAATCCATTTGCTAACACACCATCGTAATAACCTTGCAAAGAAAGAAGAGCGGGGGGGAAAGATTAACAATCTTCAGCCAAGACCCTGCTCAGGTGTGGAATGCAAACGCTCCTTTGTGGGAGAGCAGTTATCTCCCGTGGCACCATCTTCAAAGTCTCAAGACTTCTTCAAATAAACCAAGCTATCCTGCTTCACCTTAAAAATAATAGTAATAATGAAGGCTCTTAAGACATACGGACAATCAGGGTGCCTGGGTGGCTCAGTCGTTAAGCGTCTGCCTTCGGCTCAGGTCATGATCCCAGGGTCCTGGGATCGAGTCCCACATCGAGCTCCCTGCTCGGCGGGAAGCCTGCTTCTCCCTCTCCCACTCCCCCTGCTTGTGTTCCTGCTCTCGCTGTCTCTCTGTCAAATAAATAAATAAAATCTTTAAAAAAAAAAAAAAAAGACATATGGACAATCATGATCTAGTAATGCTGTGTTTAGATGAAGAACTGAGACCAACGTAAGATGCCCTTTATGTACAAACACTTCAGGACACCTAAGGAGTCTGGACAAATGACAAGGGGTCAAAGATACTGCTTTAAGAGGTCATTTCATTAAACAAGGTTCTAGACGTACATAAAACTAAGGCTTACATTCCCTTTGGTTCAGTAAGATGAGGATGCCAGTGAGGCAGGGGCATTCTAGCCTTACGCCAACCTGACCTTCCTTTGAAAATCAGTGAGTGTACCAAAAATGAGTATGATGGGAGCAAGGGGTCCTAACAATGGTAAAAGAATCTTAATGGAATGCAAAGACTAATGGGGCAAATGTCTGGATGGACACCTAAGGAAAAGAATGGAAAGGGCAACTGGAAAGAAGCCAAATACATTTGTGTATCAGGAGACCACAGTAACCACAATGCCCCCCCTCCAAGAGCACCTACGGCCCTGCCAGGCAAGCCTCTGAGAAGGGAGGCATGCACTAGAAGGATATCCACAAAGCAAATGCAGAAACAGTCCCTTTGTGACAAAAGCTGCTAGCCCAGAGCCACACCTAATGGCAGGGAACTAATGTCACTTCATCCCCAAGGCCCCAGACTCAGACGTAGACATCAGCCTTATCTGCACTTTCCACACCACCTGGGTCAACAAACCTGGGAAGCAAACTTCACATCAACATAATTTTTGCACATGATTTCCAGTTAAGAGGTGTTGAATGTGACCCGGGCAAGTGAAAGATTTAGCTTTTGACGTAGGCCAGAGAAAGAGGAATAGTTAAAGGTCAGTGAGAAGAGTGGCATACCTTTTCACGCTCCCCGACCAAGTGTGCACCCCCTGAGCTGGAGAGAGCGCCTTTAAATCTACCTAAGAAAAACACTGCAACACCTACTGATAGGATTCGAGTGTTCTGATCTTGACAAAACTCCAGGGGAAAAGGTGGCCAAGCCTTACGATGCAGGAAAATCTCCCCTGCTAGAGGCCACATCTTGGGCAAACATCCAGAGCAGCCCCCAAGGAGGAAGACGGACGGGAAGGGGAAGGTCAAGTGAGCTATCAAGTGAGCCGTTTAATCCTGAAAATAGAAGATCTGAATCCGGATTCACAAGCACCGTGGCTGAGCAGCTCATTTACTAGGAAGAGAGGAGAGTAATCAGTGCAAGGTCATCAGAGGAGTTCAGAAATGTGGATTCTAGTGCCTTCCAAAATCTCAATCTACAAACTCTGATAAACGGGCCTCAGCCTAAAATAAAGAGAAAGGACTGAACACAAAAGTTCCTGTCAAGTCCTAAAATGATAGCACCCCAACAGAAGTGGCTGCAGAGATTGTTCTGGAGGTGACCCCTCACACAGGGCAGCACGCTAAACAAGCAACAAGCAAATGAAGACTGCACAGCTCTATCGCACTGGGGGCTGAGAATTCAACAGTCACCTTCGGGCCACGGCCACCAAGGCCATGGGGAGGACGAGGGCAGTCACGGCCGCCACGACAACTCAAAAGTGAGAGAGCCAGGTCCGTCTCTGCCACGTTAGCACAGGGACGCCGGCGACTCTGGTACCACATGGGCTCGTTCAACAGCTGCGGACCCACAATGGCGCCCTGGGGGCTGGAGGCTACTCCGTGCTCCAGGTGCTGTGCTTCACGAGGTGGGAAGGGTACTGCAGACGGAGAAGATTCCCCTTTAGAAAGAGGAAACACCACCTGGCTTGTAAATGTATGTGAGTTCAATATTTGTTTGCCTAGAAACCGCTGGTTCAGAAGAGCCAATTCTCTGTGGACCGTGTGAAGATTACTCTGGGTACAATCTGAGAATGAGCAGTCTGCGGGGAGAGGGGAGTTAAGTCAGAGATTCCTGAGGCAGGGTCCCTAGGTTTTTTAGTCTATACTAATTAGTTTAAGAAGCTGAAGGGGGCACCTGGGTGGCTCACTTGGTTGAGTGTCCGACTCTTGGTTTCAGCTCAGGTCACGATCTCAGGGTCATGAGACCGAGCCCCAAACAGGGCTCCATGCTCAGCAGGAAGTCTGCTTGAGGATTCTCTCCCCGTCTCTCCGCCCCCTGTTCCTGAGTGCGAGAGTGTGCTGTGTGCTCTAAATAAATAAATAAATGAATGAATCAGGGGCGCCTGGGTGGCTCAGTCAGTTAAGCGTCTGCCTTCGGCTCAGGTCATGATCCCAGGGTCCTGGGATGGAGCCCCATGTCCCTGCTCAGCGGGGAGTCTGCTTCTCCCTCTCCTCCCCACCTGTGCGCTCTCTGTCACTATCTGTCTCTCTCAAATAAATAAAATCTCTAATAAATAAATCTTAAAAAAAAAAAAAAAAACAAAGACGACGACGACGAAGACAAGGACAAAGACAAAAAAAGGTGAAGGCACCGGGGAAAAGAGAACCCAGGAAAAATTGGGAGAGTACAATGTATGACAGGTAAAAACAGTAGAAAAGAGGAATTATGGTTTGCCTCATGTTGGGAAGGAGCCTCTCAGAATAACGATCCTGAGATTTAAAAATAATGAGAGGAACAATCTGGCAATCAATAAAAGCATATTCTTTCCAGATTCTGGTCTTATATTTTTGTGGACTCGCCACTTCTTTTGTGGGACCCTCTTTCTCTGCCTGTCCCCGAAATATTGCTCAGAGTTCTGCCCAGGGTCCCCTTCCGTCATCCACACCACTCAGGCTCCGAGCACCACCTCTACACGGGACAACCTCCCACCCCTCTCTGCGGACCCACACGCCCACGTGCCTCCACCTAGACGTCTCAGCAGGCCCGAACCCGTTCCTGTCTGGCCACCGTGGTCCTCTGTTCCTCCACACCCACCTCCCAATGTGCTCCTTCCCAGTGTTGCCCATCACCATCAGGCACACAGTGTTTAAGCTAAAAACCTCATCAACTGTGGGCTGGATAGATAAAGGACATTAAATGATGCAGCAGGGAGAGCTGAAGCCTGTTTTTAACCAAGGTCTGAGAGAACTGCCGTTATGTCCTACTTCAAGGAACTCGCTTCACTGCACTGGAAAAGCTGTAAGGATGAAGCAAAAGAGGACAAGCCCCTAGAGCCAGCGGACGTGAAGAGCCGGGCCTTACCTTTGAGTCGTAGGCTGACTGTTTAATGACCTCGGGCGCCATCCAGAAAGGGGTGCCCACGAAGGTATTCCTTTTTATCTGGGTATCCGTCAGCTGGCCCGCCACCCCGAAATCGGCCAGCTTCACCTCGCCGTGCTCAGAGAGCAGAACATTGGCAGCTGTGAAATAAAACCCGAGACGCTTCCTGACGTTATTCGCAGTGTGGTTCCACCCGTTCTCGCTCCGGGAACACGCGCGTCCTCCTGCCAGATCACGTGCTCGACAAGAGCAGGCACCAAAGGTACGCTTTTGGGGAGATCCCCCTGAAAGCCACCCCCACCCGAGGCATGTCGAAGGCTCTCTCCAAACACACGCAGGAGAACCTCCCTCGAGGAGAGACGTACCAGCTAAACTCCACTGCACGTTCCCATGAACACGAAGCCTTAGGACTTCAGAGGAATACGAGCAAGAGGTTTTCTTACCTTTAATATCTCTATGAATCTTCTTCTCCGAATGCAAATAATCAAGTCCTTTCAGTATTTCTCTTAATATGGTAGCAATCTGAGTCTCATCTAAAGGGCCAGGTTCTAACTAGTAAGAAAAGAATGATTAGTGTTACTTAAGTGGTCATATTAATTTTTTAAAAAGATTTATTTATTTGAGAGACACAGAGAGAGAACATGAGCTAGGGGAGAGGGAGAGGGAGAAGCAGGCTTCCTGCTGAGCAGGGAGCCCGATGCGGGGCTCGATCCCAGGACCCTGACATCACGACCCGAGCCGAAGGCAGACGCTTAACCGACTGAGTCATCCAAGCGCCCCTTAAACGATCATCTTAGAAGTAGTTTGAGATGACAGAACAGGCACATGTTACATGGTCAAGATTAAAACCTAAAAACTTCTTCAGTCCCGAAGAGACATTTTGCCTAACAATTAAAACCTCCCGAAAGGACGCCCCCCTGCCCAAGAAAAGAAAGCAGCAGGGAAGAAGACTTTGCAGAAGTCTTTGTTCCCGGGTCAACCGAGACACTGTTCGGGGGACACTACAAGAGCAGCGTGGCCTAACATTAACCAACAGGCCATCTCATTGCTAAACCATGTTGCATATTCAGTTTGAAGTCTGCCAGACAGCTCCGCCTGATCGAGCGACCACTTCAGGGAGCACGGCTCCTTCTCAGCGAGATGCCAAGGCCATCCCCGGCATTCTCCTGCAGAACCGACTGAGCTAGTCCCTACAGATCCTTCCGACTCTGGCTGTCTGCTGCTGATCCTCACTGCGAGCCTCCCGATCCACCCCAGCTGGCTTTCTTCTGCTTCTAGCGCCCTCCGACACACAGTTTAATGGACTCTCTCCTCTCAGCAGAATACGGCTCCGTGCCAGGGGGATTTCCTTCTGCCTTGTTCACTGCAGAAACTTCCAGCGGCTGGAACAGCGCCTGACATGTAGCAGACACACCTGAAATCCACCACGTTTTAGGTTACCAAGCCTTCAACTGCACAACCCCTACTACACTCCTAAGTCAGGGCACCCTGGAAGCAGACAGAACCTGAGAAATTATTTACACGTGGCTTTCAAACCAGAACCCAGCATTTCCTCACAGCGCCTTCTAGGGCTTCTATGGGGATCCTAGGAACATTATTTCAATGTATTCATTATTATCTTTCAAACTAAAACAAAACAAAACAAACAAACAACAAAAAAAACACCAACAGATCGAGCACACTCACATGCACGCATTCAAAATAAAATATACGCCTATTTTACTCTAACATTCGTGGCTCTTAATAACTCAGCTATATTGGGGGCGCCTGGCTGGCTCAGTCGCAAGAGCATGTGACTCTTGATCCTGGGGTTGTGGGTTCAAGCCCCACGTTGGGTGTAGAAATTAAAACAAAACTAAGCTATACGTATAGTGTCTAATACTATTCTTCATGCCAGATCCCATCTTTTGCTGCTCCAAATAGCAGGTTAAAGGTATCAACTGCATTTTTTTTTTAAAAGTCAAAAAGGATCCAACACCAGGAAAGAGGAAGAGAAAGCTCCAAGGGACACACTCTGTAACAGCATTAGTCTATCTTCCTCCAGAGAGAGGCAGGCCCGTGCCCAGACAGCAGGACTGCGAAGTCCAAGCGTGGGACAGCCCCTCAGTGAGTCACAAAAAGCAGATCTATGTGAATTCCAAAGTGGAAGTTAATGACTCCTTCCAGTTGTGTCCTTTGATCTGTCTTATCCGCGGAGCCCAAGATTGACCTATATGCCATCCTGCAGACTAGGATTCTCGAGCTGGTCTGGAAGCCAACCATCTTCACCCTGGGGCAAAGTCACTTTCCTCTCTCGGGCCACCTCCAAATGTATAAAACGGCAAGAGGGGATCAGGCTTGCAGTTCTCCTGAGCTCCGACATGGACACCACTGCTACCTCAAAGGGCACGGTGGCAGAGGCCTGAGAAAGCACTCTCACACCCAGACAGCTCCCTACTACCTGCAACCACAACACCCCACTTCCCACCGGAGAATATCCAGGCAATTCTGTCTTTGTCTCCCATCCCCACCTGGAGCCGGCCTCCATGTGGAACCTTGATTCCAGAATGAAAAGCAAGCCCCCCTCCAAATTAACTACCAGACGTGGTCAAAAGGCAATGTTGGCTGAAGGAGGGTGGCCATCTTCCCGTCCCAGGCCACCGTGTCCTTAAGATTCAATGCAAGGAATCCAACCACTCACTGCCTAAGAGCCTAAGCAAAAAGACCTGGTAACGACAATGCAGAGGGAAAAAGCGAAAAACAAAATCTGCACACCATACTTCAACATGCTTATGGCCAAGAATGCGGAGGGGTTACAGAGAGACAGCCGACTACCTCTGAACAGACTGGAACTTTAGACAGGTTTCATTCTGTTAGGGACTGAACTGCTGTGCCGACCCCACCACCGAAAATGCCAATGTTGAAAACCTACCACCCAATGTGATGGTTTCAGGAGGTGGAGCCTCCAGACGGTGATCAGATCATGTGTGTGAAGTTCTCACGAACAGGATTAGTGCCCGTATCAAGGAGAGGCCAGGGCGCTCGCTCTGGGGCTCTCTGCTCTCCCTCATGCAAGGATACAAGACGCCACCTACAAGCCAGGAAACGAGCCTCACGAGACACCAGATCTGCCCATGCCTTGACCTTGGACTTCCCAGCCTCCAGGACTGTGAGAAATAAATGTTTGTTGGTTAAGCCCCCGGTCCATTGTAACTTGCCATGGTAGCCCAAGCTATGTCAGTGACTGAGTACATGAAGAGAAAAGATGAATCTAGAGCGGAAAAGATGAAGAAAGAGCCAGCAAGATCTACATGCTCGAGGGGATGGCATGGCCCTCTCTGAACAAGGCACACCTGGTCACCTTTCCCTGCGTGGGCCCCGACGCGTGGGGCTCCTCCAAAGTCACACGTACACATATTAGCACTATGCGTCTTACTGGGGGGACATTCAATAAAAGCAAGGTTAATTTTTCAGAAAAATGCCCCAAATCCATATATTCAGTTACATGGTTATACAAATTTTTATATGCAACGATATTCCCATTCTTAAAATGTTTTATAAATAACAGACTCTCACAAAATAATCCTAATAGTTTTCAACATTCAAAAATAATTCTTGTCTCCTATTAACGCGTCCTCATCTTTGCAGGCTGGGGACAGGCCAACAGCAAGGGGACATAAGAAAGATACAACGAAGTCAGAAGTCAGAGGGATGGGAAGGACAGTGTGGGGCCACGGAAGGCCATTGGCTTTGCAGCTGGGCACAACGAGGTCCAAAGTCCAGCTCTATTTGCTAGCTGGGACACCCAACCTCTGAGCGTCTCCATTTGCTCCTCAATTAAAATGAAATGATGAGGGACGTCCAAAAAAGGATGCCTGGTTCTTATCAGGAGAGCCATTAATGTGGACGGTGGATGGCAGTTTGCTCGGACTGATACCACACGAGATTTTTTAAGTGGAGAGTTCTATACCTCCTTCCAATCGTAATGTCTAAAATTTCAGACTTCAAAGCTCCAACGACAGTTGCCACTAAATAAATTACTGTGGCATTAAGAATGAATAAACCAGAGCACTGAGAGACTACAGCTTCTTCTCTGAAGGGCTCAGTGTTGGAGGAGAGCGTCCCGGCAAACAACGTCATGTGTGCCACAGAAGAGATGCACTCAGGGTAACAGTCAATCTAATTACCCAAAATGAGATTATTTCCTATATTCCTGTAGCATTTCCCAAAACAGTCAAAAATGAAAAGCTCTTGGGGCGCCTGGGTGGTTCAGTCGTTAAGCGTCTGCCTTCGGCTCAGGGCATGATCCCAGGGTCCTGGGATCGAGCCCCGCTTCGGGCTCCCTGCTCGGCGGGAAGCCTGCTTCTCCCTCTCCCTCTCCCCCTGCTTGTGTTCCCTGTTCTCGCTGTGTCTGTCAAATAAATAAATAAAAATCTTTAAAAAAAATGAAAAGCTCTTTGTGTCATGTGTATATTTATGGAAAAGATGCAAAGCAAGTTACGAAATTTATCCGGCTGTTCTGTTGCTCTTCTCATTTTAATACAATTGTTGATACTGTATTAAATTTTTCCTTGAAATTTCCCTTTGAACACTACTTTGACTAATTGCTTTTATGGTTTATAACAGTATGTGCTATTTTAAAATTGGGTACATAATACTTTTAGAGATACGTAAGGTTTTAGAGGTTTACCTTCCCCCCAAGAAACTACTAACTGCTACTCCCACTGTGAGAAAGGACTCTCCTTTTAACCAAAGGGCACTCTTTCCTTAGTGGATAAAATCTGTGTTAAGACTCCAACCACTAAAACACATGGGCTTCTTCTAGCAACCACTCTGAGGAGCAGTGAAAACTGCAGGCCCATCATCCTGACGATGGTCTGCCGGGCCATTCTAACACGAAAGTGACAGATGAGGCCTGTCCCAGAAACTACCACTGACCCCAAAGCCAGCCCTTCCAGGACAGGTAGGAAAAGAGTGCTGAGTACACTGATTTCACTGTGTAACCACCGTGGGGACAAGACGTCAACTGCTAAACAACTGTGTGAGTTTTTAAAAATTTGTTCTGCATATACTGTGCTTCTAGGACAACTTAAGCAATGCTTATGATTCACTGGTTATTCTAAGCATCTGGCCAGAAGCCAACATGCAGCCACGTTTTACCAAGAGCAGCAAGCTGTAGACTGTGGCTCTGAGGTCAGCCCCTCGCTACCTTCCACTAGCTCGCTCGTGGACTGGCACAACAGGCCCAAGCCAGGTAGGAGACAAGACCCCGGGGTGGGCCCAGCTCCACCATCAAATGCACCGCAAGCACCAGCATGAAGAGAAACAGAAGTGCGCACCCCCGCCTGGCCTGACCACGGCTCCGATGGGTGACACCGCCCTGCATTCACACACTGCCTGCCCATCTTACTCCTGAAATCAAGTAAGTTTTAAAAGTCCTGATTCTAATTAGTTACGTTACATATTTTGGATACGTGCGTATTTTGGAAGCCAAGCTACTATCTGAAATGGGAAACAATAATGGGATCTCAGTTCCACAAAAGTTAAAACCAGTTTGGAAGGCAAGCTACCAAACTGTTAAGTAAGACGATGACAGGCAGAATCCTTCACGGCTTCTATGAATGAATTCACTGGCTTCCCAGGAAACTTGAGCAAAACTGGTTTCCAAAGTAGAACTAGCGGCGCCTGGGGGGCTCAGTCAGTTGAGCGTCCAACTCTTGGTTTCGGCTCAGGTCATGATCACAGGGTCATGGGATCCAGCCCCCTGTAGGGCTCTGCGCTCAGTGGGGAGTCTGCTGGAGAGTCTCTCCCTCTGCCCTCCCCCCATTCGCGCACGCTTTCTCTCTAAAATAAATCTTTAAAAATAAAAAGGAAAACTATAATTTTCAGTAATATTGTTACAAACAGATATTATAAGGAATATTTTGGTCCCCTTTTCATACAACTGAAAAGGGAAACACAAGTGGATAAAAACAGAATTACCTTTACAACCAAGATTTACTGAGAAGAACTTTGATGTGTATTTAGGCATTGGGGGGGGGGGGGAGATACTTACAAGATCTAGTGCGGAGCCTCCACCAAGGTATTCCATTATTATCCACAATTTAGTGTCCTACAGAAACAAAAAGAGGGAAATTATTTTTAAAAAACAAAACCAGAAAAAAATTTAAACAATCTCAGGGGTTTTTTTTCCCCCACTGTTATTTTGGAACTGAAAATGTTCACAAATATGTAACAGCAAGAAAAGCGTGTGCAAGTGAGTGCCTTGCAGGAAAAGCCACCACGACATCGGTGGGCTTTCACGGCTTGTGCCGGCCTCCGTCAGACGCAGCATGTTCTGGACCTGTTGAACCAGAATCTCTGAAGAAGGGGGACTGGGCGTGGGGGGGCGCGGCGCCTTCCCCTTTCAAACTTCAGTCAGTGATCCTCAGGAACAGCTGGGTTTGGGAACCAGTCCCCAAAGCCCATCACCGGGCCAGCAGCGGTCACACACGTGTCATCGTCCCCCGCCAGGTGTCAGCCAGGAGGCGCCGGGGCAGGTCAGCACTCCCTGCAAGCTGACGGAAGGGGACGCTCCCGGGGGGGGACAGCAGTGCAGCCTTTCATCCGCCCCCTTGTTTCGTAGAAAGGCAGCCCATTTCTAACAGCCGCAAAGCACCACAGTTTTCAGGGAAGAGCAGGCCCTAGCCCAAGTCTTGACTTTGTGTCCTCACCAGTGTCCACTCTGTGTCTTTTCCCTTCGTCTCTCCTGAAACCACTCAGCTCCATGACTTCCAGAGCTCTTGTTTTAAACACAAACCCCAAAGTGATACTCCCCTGAAAACCAAGCAGCAAGCAAGCAAACCTCCGCCCTGTGCTCAGGGAGGGAGCACTCAGGGATGAGCCAGACCAGGCCTGGGGTCCTGACCCCTCACCTGAGGGATTCAGGGAGTTGTTTCCTCTCCAAGCTTCTGACCTAACCAAGTGCCCGGCCCACAGCAAGCAGGCAAGATCGACAACCAGTGACGTGGATGCGCGTCACAGCTACTGGTGGTGAGTAACCCGTGAGTGTCACTGGGGCTGGGCGACCCGCCACACCCTGGTGTGCATGGATGCACTTAACAGCGGCAGGCTTCGTTACTAACTCAATCCCTTACACTAGCTGTAGTAGGCACGGAAAGAGCTCTCTGGCCCCTTCAGGGTGGAAGCGAGCCCTTCCGCTTCAGCGCAAGTCGGGAAAACCCTCCCCTGCTTCCCTCCCCTACACCCTGTGCAAACTTTTACTTCAGCAACCACTGGTCTGCGGTTCATTTTAGATTCACTTGTCTGTGTTTCCCACCAACAGCAAACTAAGTGCCTGGGGACAGTGTCCGGCACCGTCGGGCTCATTACCGTGCACTGTGGTCAAGGACCATATATATACTCGCTTCAGAGAGGCAATGATACACACCACATTTGTAAAATACAATCCTTGTAAAATTTCAAATAAATTCTGACATCCAGAGTCGATTCTATGATATTCTAAACAGTCCAAGTTTTACTGCATGGAGAACACTTTCTCAAGCTTTCAAATGCCCTCGACGTCTAGTACAACAAAGACAATTTCAGCAGAGACTGGACAGGGCACAGAAGCCTGAAATGATGTGTTTGGGATCCACCTTCTAGATACAAACATTTTACCCCCTCAGTAACCACCCAGTCATGGACACCTGCTCTGAACAGGTGCACTCACCCCGTCGTTCTGATTTCAAGAGAACTTCCCACCAGAAAGACTATTCTCTGACCTTCCTTCCATTTTGTAAATGAGCCCAATGCCAGGTAGACCTCCAGAGTCCCTGCTCCTGGAGAAATGTCTGTGTTTCTCCTTCTAGGCATTCCAAAAGCATCCTGTCTGACAGAAATAAATTATTCCAGAGAAACAACCAATACCATTTTGGATAACACGGGAACTCTTAAATTCGTTTCCTATTAAAAACTTGGAACTTTACATTTCTATTCCCGTTCCCTTTGTCTTGGTGCTGACCCAGCAGAAACGAAGCTATGAGGCTGGGAAGAGGGGACACCAAGGACCTACTGGAGGGAAGGTACGGAGGGGAGGGCGCCCTGGTGCAGAGTGACCTCCACGGTGTGCCAGAGGCCGATCTTGCAGCCCGCGCTAAACATCTCAGACTCCCCCTAACAGTCAGTGAAGGGCAGCAGAGCAGATGCCCACTTTGGAGTAAACCCTGGATGTGGGTGGAAAAGGAGCCAGAGAGTAGTTACAGGCTCCTGCAGAGCCCATGGAGAGGTGGCGTGGCTGTGGTGTCATTGGGAGCCGCTGGGGAGGCAGAAGTGACGGGGCCTGGAGGTATCCAGGGAGTCAAGGTCACTTCCAGACGTGGCCTCGCTCAGATGGACATCGGGCATCGCCATCTACTGACAGGGAGCTCCGGGAAGAGGAGGTGGAAGGGGGACGACAAGTTTGGACAGGTGGATGAAGGTATCCACAGGTCATTCATGGAGCAAGAGTGAATCTCCTTTCTCTTTAAAAACAAAACAAAACAAAATACACACTTGTTTTAAAATAACCGATAGCTCGCACTAAATTGCAGTACAAATTCCCGACTCTGTCTTGGTGAAGCAGCCCCTTGCTCTCAGGTGCCCACTCGCCCTGCTCTCATCCCCACCCCTGCCCCCAGGATGCACCGAGCTCCAAAGCCCACCAGCCCCCGCACAGCTACTCCCCCAGCCACGAGATGTCCTGGCCGCCCTGCCCCGTGTGCGTCACAGCTCACAGGGCAGCTCCCCTGAGGACACGCACCCAGGGTATCCCCCTCCCTGCTCGGTCCACCAGGCCCAAACGTCTGTCCTCACTCTTCCTCCTGCCTCAGAGAACGAGGTCTGTCTCATCCTCTGTCCAAGAAGAGCCTGCCAACAGTGTTCTCTGTCCCCCCCACCCCCTTCCACCAGCAACCCTCAGTCCCATCACTGATGCCATCACTCGATCTGCCACCTTCCCTTGAACACTCATCCTCCTCCACAGCCCCAATCCTCTGTACTCAATCGTTCTCTCCCTTTCTATAGGCTGACTCTCCCACCATGGTCCCGATGAGCCCTAAAAGCTCTGGGTTCTGCCTTTGCTCCTCCCTCTCCTAGCTAGAATTCCCGAACTATAACCCCAGCTGCTGGTTTCTTTCCCACCAAAAGGCAAGAGTGCTAGGAATAAACTCTGCCTATCTCCCAACCTGGATGAGGACAGAGATGCTATGAAAACCGGGAAGAGGGCGAAGGGACAGATCGTGGGATCTGGAGACACATAACCTGTGCGCCATCAGGAACACACCTGCGGGCACCATCCCACCTCCCAGGCAGGACGCACGCACAACACAAGACGGGGAAGGTCTCTTACACTGGCCACGAGTCAGGATTCCGAGAAAGTTCTACCACCATGGATCCTAAAGCAAATGTTCATGAGGGAGTAAATGGATGAGCTGGGGAGAGCGTAGGACGGGCTTCTGCGTCAGCCTTTCTCATCCTCAGCACTGACATCTGAGGCCAGGGGAGGCTCCGCTGTCAAGGGGCTACCCTGTGCATGGGTGGGTGTAGAGCAGCATCCCTGGCCCTCTCCCCACTAGATGTCAGTAACATACCCCCAGTCCTGATCACCGGCAATGTCTCCAGGCATCACCGTGTCTTCTGGGGGCCAGAACCGCCCCCACCGAAAACCCCTGCACTACACGACCAACGTCGAAAAGCCTCAGGTTATCACGGGACCACCAGTGCTGAGACCTCACGCCCCCCTCCTCGCAGAGCTGCTGACACCCTTGTCACTTGCTCACTGCGAGACCGCCAAGCTTCGAGTTCCTCATCCATAAAAAGATGGTAATAATCTGCTTCTAAACCGCCAAGTTCAACTGACAATATAACGAGATCAAGAACGTGGAAGCACTTTGCGAAGTTCAAGGTACCAAACACACAAAAGTGCTATTAGCTTTATCAACTTCATCACCCATAAATGCCTTCAAATAACCCAGTAAAACCAGAACAGCCCAATTAACAAGCTACTAAATAGTATTTCCCTGCATGGGAGTGTCTGAGCAACATAAAATCTGGAACAATGATTCATACACATTCCACACTGGAATGGAAAAAAAAAAAATTATTGCCCTACAAGCCTGAGGCAAGACTGTCTGACAAGGATGGTCTGGCTCGAGGGACACACTTGACCTGTCCTCGGTGACCTAGTGACCAAGCGCTGTCACTGCCCAGACGTGGAATCACGGCCCTCATAAAACCTTCCAAATCATGACTTGTGGGGCACTCTGAGAAAAATCAGAAGCGTTCTTAAAACAAGAATGATTTTAATCAGAATAATTCCATTTTTAAAAAATCACGTCAAAAAACGTAAATTATAAGCGACCTTGTGATACAATTCTCTCATAAATGAAAGAAAATGATTCCTTTATTTAATAAATTCACATTTCAAAATTTAAATGGTACCAAAATGTATACACTGAGAACCTTCCCTCTCACCCCTGGCCCCGGGCTATCCAGCCTCCATCCCCCAATTACCAACACATCTGGTGCAACCTCAGAGAAAATAGTCTACACAAATACCTATAAGCTTTCTCCCCTGTCATGCAGATGGTATCATTCTAAGCACTGCTCTCTACCATACTTCTCCTTAGAACATTCTATATTTGTCCATAAAGAAATTCCTCTCTCTCTTTTTTTAACCATACCTAACCCATGCCATATGGACAACACTGAGTTGTTTCCAGTCTTTTGCTATTATGAGCCAAGTGTCAAGGAAGAACCTCACATGTTCTCATTTTGGAGAGTTCCTGGAAATCAAACTTAGGTTAAAGGAATCCACTTGAATTTTAACAAATAATAACAAATTACTCTTCAAAGAACCCGTCTCGGTTTGTACCACATACCACCTCCAGCAACGTAGGAGTGCTAATTTCCCCTTTCCTTCTCCAACAGTGTAACAAAACCTTTTCTTGTCATTGTCACGAGCTGAATTTCGTCCCCCTCCCAAATTCATATGCTTACGTCCTAACCCCCAGTACCTCAAAATTAGTACAGCCGACCCTTGAACACCAAGGAATTAAGAGATGCTAACCTCCCACCCCCTCTGGCAGTCAGATC